TCGGTTACTTTTTTCAGTGCCGTTGTAACTTTGAACTGTCACTAAAGGAACTGTTGTAAGTCGAGGACTACCTCTATTCAGTCTCCAGCTGAATTGGATTGGGAGACATACACACACACACACACACACACACACACACACGTATATCTTTTTTTCAAGTACCAGGGTGACTGCAAACGGCTTCTAAACAAACGGTCGTAAGTGGAGGACTGCTTGTAACCAAAGACGCTGCCTTCTTTTGGTGTCTGGCTTGATAATTTGCTCCTCAAAGCTGCAGAAAGCTACTTGCCTGGGGAGGGGGGGTGGACACGGGACAGGAAGCTGAGTATTTGGACGGTGCATCCCCCACAATGACCACTGTGGTGTGTTTGGGTTGCAGAACCATCGCAAGGCCCCGGAGCGAAGGCAAACACCAGGAAAAAAAACGTGGGTAAGCATGAACCTTCGTTTCTCTCGCATGTCGGGTCTTTGTTGGACATCAGGTTGCGTTTCATTGGGCGGGGAGGGGGATCAGCAGTGGGTTTTCCCTCTGCCAGAGGTCACTAATATTGTCCGGTAAAAGATTCCTCTGCCCTTCCAAGGAAAGGAGATTTCTGTGCTATCCGTTGATCCGTGTGGGTTTTGGAACCAATTAAGAACATGTGCCTGTTTCTCTCCATCTATTTTTTTTTTAAAGTCACTAGTCCTCATTGTTTTAGGGGGGAAAAAATCAATTGCACAGAAACTGGGAATGTTTGCAGAGAATTATGGTTTATCGAGCAGAAATTAGCATCCATGTCCAAGGGGGAAGTGGAGAGAAGCCAACAATTTGACTCCACTTTGCTGGGTTCCCGGCCATCCTTGTGCGCCAATTCCGTCCTTGGGGACAGAATTTGGAAATGTGATCCCTTCCTATTAAAATTATAGGAACCTGAAACACACCGCAGCTGGATCCGGCCAGAACCGCCTATCCAGCTGCCTCACGGAGGCTTCAGCATTCTGGGAAATTCACAAGCACGGGGAAGAAAATATTTCGCTGCCTTGTGGTTCTTAAGGCAGCCCATTCCTGATTTTAGAGGCGGCAAAGAACGGCAGCCATTGCAAAGAGAATAATAGAGTTGGAAGGGACCTTGGAGGTCTTCTAGTCCAACCCCTCTTGCTCAAGACAAAAAGGCTTATTTGTTTGTGGGCCCAAAACTTCTGTCACTAGATGAGACATTTGTTAAGTGAGTTCTGCCCCCACAGTTGTTAAGTCAATCAAGGCAGTTGATAAGTTAGTAAGCCGGTTGTTAAGTGAATCTGGCTTCCCCATTGACTTTGTCGCAAAAGGAGATCATGTGACCCTTGGACACTGCAACCGTCGTAAGTATGAATCCGTGGCCAAGCGTCCGACTTCCGATCACGTGACCACGGGGGTCATAAGTGCAAAAAAGCCCTGGCTGTGAGTCCCTTTTCCCACAGTGCCGTTGTAACCCCGGTCACTAAACAGGATGGTTGTAAGTCGAGGATTGCCTGACCGATGACGCGCGCCCTTGCCTCTCTTCCCCAGATCGCGACTGCTCCGTTTCCCTGTTGCGGCTTCACTCCAGGGACGCTGCCAGCCACCTCCACCCAAGCCAGGACACCCTCTCCCCCCGTTGCCCGCTGGGCAGCTCCGCCGACAGCCGCCCCAAAGACTGTGGGGCAGTTCGGGGAGCGGCCCGACGGGGGAGCCCGGCTGGCAAGGAGGCCTCCACCGCCCTGGAGAAAGGCTTCAACCCCAGGTGGCGGGCGCGGTTCCTGGTGGACTTCGACGACGCCACCGGCCACCTGGTGTGCATGGTTTGCGAGTACCCCTTGCGACGCATCTGCCTGGCCACCGTCAAGCAGCACATCCTCCAGTGCCACGCCGAGACGCTCCAGATGCCCCGCGAAGTCCGGCGTACCATCCGCGAAGTCTGGGAGAACCGGTGCCAGCCCTCCGCCCAGGCCCCAAGGAAGTGAGGGGGGCTCTCCAATCCCGCTTGACTCGGGGAGCCGCGAGAAAGGGTTAAAGGAGACCAAATTTGGGTGGACCAGGCAGGCGCCCAGGGGGGGCGGAGCTTGAGAGAAGGAGGCTCCACCCCCTCCTCGGAAAGCTCCGCCCCGACACTCTTCACTCCTAATCTCCTATTGCTGGAGGAGAGAACAGATTCTGAGCTAATGCTGCCGCTGTTTTTTTCCAAGTCTTAAGTCTTATTTTTTATTATAATTATTATTTGTTTCTATTTTCAACTTTGCTTTTCCGTCCTAAGCAAGAAGCAGCTCCGATTTTCTCTCTGGCCCCAGGCTTTCTTTCTTCCTTCCTTTTTTTTTTTCCCTCCTTCTCACCGGCGAAATTCCACACCGCGAGAGAAGGGAAAACGGAGAACAGGAGTCGCCGCTAAATCCGCAAGTCGAGATGGGAGAGTTTTGCCACCACCTTCCCCTTATTTCAGGGTCGGTTCATTAAAAAAAGAAAAGAAACTCAGGGGGAAATCTTTTTTTTTTTTTGGGTTCCGGCAGACCCTTTTGCCTTTTTTTTTTAATTTTGGTTATCATTATTTTTTTATGTCTGTCTCCACAAAAGCTGCAGGAAGAAATAAGACGTAGTCATTGCTCTGGGATTATCATTTTCATCGCCAGCAGCGCTGTGTTTCTGCGGTTAAAGGAACCCCGTGTTTCGGTTCCCTGATTTAACCAAATATCAACCTGGGCTTTTCAAACAGATTCGTAAACCACAGGGAGCAGTAAAATTATATTTTATGTTCTACAAGCGGTCTCCTTTCTATCGATGTACATTTTTGAGTTCTGTGTTCCGGTTACCGTTTCACTTGTGCTCCTGCAGAGGGGGGAAAAAGGGGGAGAATTTCTCTTTTGTTAGAATCCTGTAGCGGCAAAAAGGTGGCCAGAGACATAAACTCTGCTCAACAAAATCCCTTCGCCTGCTGTACGGTTTTGCAACTGGCGCACCACCGCTGGGGTGTGTCCAGCTTAAGCAACGCCTGGCTTTGAAAACCAGCGTGGGAAGAAGCCGCAATCGCTCTGTTTGTGCCTTTTATTTATCCAGGTGTCAGTCCAACAGGTGCAAGCCAGGAAGCCAAGCGAGATTTATTTTTTTTCCCCCTTTATTCAAAAGCGGACGGAAGTTCTTGCTGTAATCAATGAAAGCAGGTTTACGTAACGGAGTTGACTCTTAAAGGTAGAGGAAGAACAAGTGGTGTCCTCTCCTATATTCCAGGGAAAAGGTCACTAGCACTGATGATGATTTACAATAAAACCACTGAAAAATCTATTTTCTCTCTCTTCCCCCCCCCCCACCCCTTTTGGGGATTGCTTGCAGTTTCAGACTCCACCACTTGAGGGTGCCTTTGACTTGTAAAAGGAGTCAGGGAGAGGAGAGAGAGGACCAAATCCTAGAGAGGACTTCCCTGCATATAATTTGAATTCTCAGATATATTTGCTGCTGTGGTCTGATCCCCCCCAAAAAACAGATAGGGAGCACCTGTGATGCAAGAGGCATGTTTTCTGCCTGCCTGCATTGTCACGCTTCCCACATAAAAGTGGCATTAGCCATTCTCCTAGCGCTGTGACGCGCGCCAGAGGTGTCGCGCAGAGCCCTCTCTAAAAGCATGCGCGCCATCACCAACGGCTCTTCTGGTTTCTGGCGTGCAGAGCCCTCTCTGCCAGCCAGCTGGTCTTCGTGGGTGCTGGAGCACCCGAAAAACAGCCTGAAAGCGTCCAAAAACCGGTCCCAAAACAGCCCCCCCAAAAAGGCATGCACATCTGGTCTTTGGGTTTCTGGCACTCCGGAGCATGCATGTCTGTTCTGGTTTGGGCACTTGGTGCCCAAAAGGTTGACCGTCACTGTCCTAGGGCGAATTAAATCTTGCCAGTGGTGGTACACTACCGGTTTGGCCCGGTTCAGACGAACCGGTAATAAATGAAGAGAAAAGCGCAGAATCGGCCCTCCCGTTCACCCCTGGGCTTTTCTTTATATCCTCTCACCTGATTGGCACTGGGGAAAGCTGCGTGCATGCATCCCCAAACCAGTAGTGGAACGGGGTGGGATCCCACTGCTGAATCTCGCACGTGCGACACACACAGACAAACACCCACCCAAAGCCTTGTCAAATATTTGGACGTTGCCAATGGACGGAAGAGAAGTCAGAATAGCGTTGAAGGTTGTGAATGCTGTTGATCAGGCCCACTCTTGCTTCCTGTCCTGGAGATGCTTTGATGGAGGCCATTGAGTTAAAAGGGACCATTTTGGGTGTGTGGGGACCTGGGAGCCCTTCCCCCCTCCCCCTTCAAAAGAGACGCTCATTACAAAAGCAGAAATGACATTTAATAAATTAAGGGAAATCTTGTACAGTCGGGCCCAATAAATAACAAAAGCAAGGACCAGAGAGAAGAGAAACAGCAAGGCAGGAGGAGGAACCGAACGGCGAGAGGCAGTATTGTTTTCAGTACAAAATAGTCTAAAAAGAGAGAAATAGAGGAGAAATTGGACTTGCTACCCAACACCGTCACAACTGCTACACGGAAAGGGGTGTTGCTCGGATCAGGGATCATGGAAGCAAAAGCCAGGAGCACAGGTTTACGGAGGCCGGTGTGTGTACACACACACACACAGATGCAGATACAAAATCAGCCATTAAGCTTTGCGTGTGCATTTGAAAGGTGTGTTTTCGTTGGTTTTATTTTTCTGAGTCGTCTTTTTTCAGAAACGGAATCCGTGTTTCCCAATTTAGCTGCCGTTTCCCACATCGCTTCTTTTTATTTATTTTTAAAAAGAAAAAAGAAAACCCTGATCAGGCTTTCAAAATATTTGGGGGAAAGGAAATAAATCGATTTGCTTCGCCGAAGAGGCTTGCAAACTTAAAGAGTTGTGATGTCATTCTGAAGTGGGCAGACTTTTAAAACGCAGGCCCTGCTCGTTTGGGGCAGGTCGCGGATTCTGAAACACGTTTCCTTGCTTTTAACCCCCTAAATCAGGGGTCCTCAAACTTGATAACTTTAAGACTTCTGGACTTCCAACTCCCAGAATTCCCCAGCCAGCATTTTTTTTTTTAATTCTATGATTGCTAGTCTCAATTGCAATTAGCAAGTGACCACCAGGAGGCAGTATGTGACTTGGTTTTGTCTTATATAATCCCACACTGCCTCCTGGTGGTCATTCTAAGTAAGGACATGCATAACAAAGAGCAAGAAATTAGCTTGGTTCGGAATTTCTGGGAGTTTTGAAGTCCACAAGTCTTAAAGTTGCCAAGTTTGGAGACCTCCGCCCTAAATCTATTCAATTTCTCTCCCTTTTTTTGCCAGACCCCTTCCAATTTTTCATAATCCGGTGTGCTGGAAAAAAAAAATGATTTCCCACGCTGACCTTCATGGAAGCTTCTGCAGCAAGAGATAAGCTTGTTCCTTTACCCACCCATTCCCAGTCTCATCCTAATCAATATTTTTCCCCATTACAGGTAGCCTTACAACCACAATCGAGCCAAACACTATGCGAGACCGTTGTTAAGTGAGTTGACTTTTTTTTCTTTTTGGCTACAGTTAAGTGAACTTTTGTAGCTGTTAAGTGAATCCTATAGTCCCAAAGCAAATCTGACTTGGCCCAAGCGCCCAAATTCTGCCCCGGGGATGCTTGCAAACAGTCGCAAAATGTGAAAACTGGTCATAAAGTCGCTTTTTCCACCCCCAGTGCTGTTGTAAATTTGAGCAGTCACTACACGGTTATAAGTCGAGGACTACCCATACCCCAATCCTGGGAATTTGCAGAGGGTCTGTAAAATCTTGCCGCTGGCAGTATTCAGAATAAAAAAATAAGAGATCAGGCTGTTCCAACCAAGAATAGGAACAGTGCCAAAAACACACAAATCTAGACACTTCAAAGAGAGACAAACATGGAAACTACAAAGATATTTTTTTTTATCACAGTTGTGTGGCTTTTTTGTCGCTTTTGGCCTGGTGAGTGTGGAAATGGAGGGCCTGCCGGCTGCCCACTCCTCGTTGCATCTCCCCCTCCCCACTTTTCTAAAACCACATATATTTTCCCCCTCCCCAATTTATGCTCACTTGGCAGGTTGTAGCTGGTGATGGGTTAGAGAGAAACGAGACTCCTTGGAAGACCATTGAAAGCCACAGGGCCTGCGGCACCAGCTCTTTGCATTCCCCATTTTTTTTGGGGGGGGGGCATGGGGACTTTAAGACGAGCCCCACCCCTTCCGATCAAAAATATGTGTTTATGTATTGCATCTGAAGCCCGAAGTGAGCTTTTAACCCTCCCCCAATGGATTCTAGGCGTCTTGAAATGGGTATATAAACTTTATAACCTGTGGACTTCAACTCCCAGAATTCCTCAGCACAGCCAGCTCAGGAATTCTGGGAGTTGAAGTCCTGCAGGTTGTAAAATCTCCTACCCCTCCCCTGCTCTATTGAGATAGCGGCCTCTGTTGTCACTGCCTGCCGAGGATGATGGGAGGGGTAGTCTCCCCCACCAGTAGGAAGACGTAGCATCCTTTCTGTCCCTTTGCGTTTTTTCTAAACATTTAAAAAACTTTTTTGTTTTGTTTTCGCAGAGACCCTGCCAAGATGGGGAGGTGGGCTACTTTAACTGTGCTCGGAGAGGAGGGGGCTCCTGTTTCTCATCCCTCGCCCCCTCCCCTCCTTTAAATCCTCAGTCCACATAGTCAGAAACCAATGCAAGGTTTTGGATCTGCACCTGGGAGGCAGGCAACGTAACTGCAACTTGCGGCTCGTTAAAGCAGCTGCCTCTTAATTTTTTTCCCTTAATTTTTTTTTTTTAAGCAGGGGAGGAAAGGATGATTGTCCCACTCCTAGTTTTCAATTTGTAGGAAGGGTGTGGTTTTTTTTGTTAGCCCAGAAGGAAAGCTAGTGCAGTGTCCAGTTTGGAGAATGCGTTCCACCCTCATCCCCCCCACATCCCATTTAACCCCCCCCCCCCCATCAAACCCTCCTTATAGATGCACAAACACAGAGACAATTGGCAAATGCACAAGAAATTGGGATATACTGCTGTCCACAGCATAGACAGGAAGTAACCTGGATCTTTTCTTTGAAAAAAAAAAAAAAGGCAGTGGTAAGGAAATAGCTCCCTCTAATTTATACACACACACACACACACACACACACAATAAATTAACCTGGCACACAACAGCCCCAACCCAGTCACTCCCCCTTCCCTTCCCACCTGGATGCCAAAGGTAGACCAGCTTGAAAAAGCCAGGGGTGGGCGGTTGAAACCGCAGCCGCCGCTGAAATTTTGTGCCGCCCAGACCCACAAAAACCAAGCTTACGGCAACCTTGTGCGTTGGGACGCACATCTACGAGGTTCTGGATTTGGCAGTCGTCTTGCCGCTTTGACCGTCTTGGGGAGTGGGGGCCTGCAATCCTCCTGCTGCCTCCCAAACCCCTTATTGCACGCCCCTCCCCCTTTTGTTTTTCCCTAGCCCTGAGAGTTGACGGAGATCACCCGGTGGTGCTCCATCCCAGTTCACACCTCCGTCTCCACGCCAGCCAGCTTGGGGGTGAGGATGCGGGGCGTGACGCCGGCGTTGAGGTCCGTTTCGAACTGCAAAAGTTGCCCCATGAAGTTCAGGTTGGGCGAGATGACGGGCCGGCGGCCCTTGACGTACTTGTAGGCGTCGCCCATGGTCATCAAGGTGTGCTTCATCAGGTAGGCGATGACGATGGTGGCTGAGCGTGAGACGCCGGCCTGGCAGTGGACAAGGACTCCCTTGCCACTCTGGTGGGCCTCCTCTGGAGTTGGGGAGAGAAACGGCAGCGTTAAGAGGCAGGATGTGCTCAAGGACTCCAAACTTGGCCCCCTTTAAGAGTTGTGGACTTCAACTCCCAGAATTCCCCAGCCAGCTTTTTTTAAAAAAATTAATTCTATGACTCTGTTGCTTAGTGACGGACTTTCTAGTCTCAGTTGCAATTGGCAAGTGACCCACCAGGAGGCAATATTTGACTTGGTTTTGTCTTACATAATCCCACACTGCCCCCTGGTGGTCATTCTAAGTAAAGGACATGCACAACAAAGAGCAAGAAATTAGCTTGAGGAATTGCGCCCAAAATTTCTGTTGCCAAGGGAGACATTCGTTAGCTGAATGTTGTCCCATTTTACAACCTTCCTGGCCTCAATTATTAAATGAATCACTGCAGTTGTTAAAAGTAACACAGTTGTCACGTGAAATCTGGCTTCCCCGTTGAGTTTGCTCGTCCGGATGGTCGCCAAAGGGGATGCGCACACAACCCCAGGGACGCTGCCACCGCCCTAAACGTGGGTTGGGTGTCAAGCATCCCAGGGTAAATCATGTGATGCTGCAACGGTCGTAAGAGTGGAAAACGGCCGTAAAAGACACTTTTTTTTTCCAGCGCCGTTGTAACTTCGAAAGGATTGCCTGTTCTCCCTCTTCACTTTTTTTCTTTCCTGTTGCCCAGATTTTAGCCCCCCTGCCCCACTTAGATCTGAAATGTTTCCTGCAAAGAATTAGGGGTGGACATGAGGATTTCCTTCCCAGCATTTCCAGAGGTGGGATTCAGCCGGTTCGGACCGGTTCTAGAGAACCGGTAGCGGAAATGTTGAGTAGTTCAGAGAACCGGCCAATACCGCCTCTGACTGGCCCCGCCCCCATCTATTCTCCGCCTCCCAAGTCCCAGCTGATTGGCTGGGTCTTCTTTGGTTGCCCTGCACAGGAGAACGGAGCTGGAAAGCAGGTTAGTGGGGTGGGGAGGGAAGGGGGATTTTGCAGTATCCTTCCCCTGTGACATCGACCAAGCCAAGCCCCACCAAGCCCCACCAAGCCACGCCCATAGAACTAGTAAGAATGTTTTGAATCCCACCATATTTCCCACTTATGGACTCCCCAACCTGGGTCAAGATTCGGCTCGTACCGATGAACTCAAACGCCTCCTCAAAATATTGCCGCAGGTCCTGTCGGTTGTTGTCGGTGGCCGGTAAGCGCTTGTAACGGAGGCGCCCGCTCTCGGCGTGGTAGAGAGGCAGGTGGGTTGTGACGTTGAGAACATGGCCCACGTTGAGATGGAGCAAGATCTCCAGGTTCTGGGCGTCCCTCTCATTGCCCAGGTAGAGGAAGGGGAGGATGGGGCTCAGTTCGGCGTTCTCCAAGTCGGGGGTCAGCGGGGAGCCCACCTCGTCCGAGATCTCCGGAGCATCCAACCCGATCGGACTGCCTGCGGCCAAAACACGAAACGTGAGGGTGGCATTCCTGCCCGTGGGGCACAACGGAGACGTGGCGTTCAAAGGCGTGGCAAAACGGGAGGGGTGGAAGCACAGGAGATCAAGGTGCTTTCTCCCCCTCTCTGCCTTTCCAATCCTGCTAGGTAAGATCCGGTGGGGGGGCTCCAAATTGCCCCCTTTCAGACTTGTGGTCTTCAACTCCCAGAATTCCCTAAGAGCTAATTTCTGGCTCTTTGTTGTGCGTGTTCTTACTTAGACCGACCACCAGGAGGCAGCGTGGGATTATATAAGGACAAAACCGGTCGCCTATACTGCCTCCTAGTGGTTGCTTACCAACTGCAACTGAGAGCCGCAATTCTGTCGTAAAGTTTTTTTTTAAAAAAATGCTGGCTGGGGAATTCTGGGAGTTGAAGTCCACAAGGGGTCAAGTTTGGCCGATGAAATGATTCCCTAGATTGGAAACGGAGGAGTGTGAGGAGAGAAGGATAAAAGAAGCTTGGCCCATTATATCAAGCTAACCAGCAGGACAAGCTGGTTCAATCAAAGCTTCCTCGTCGGGACTGGGAAGCAAGGCATGATGGGAGTTGTAGTTTTAGGGGGAATGACAGGTGCACTTGTCTCCCTGGCACCTGGCCCTCCTCCTTAGCTCCTCCCCTCATTCAGCTAGCTAAAAGTAGGGCATCTCCAAACATCCCTCCCAGATTTTATTCTTATTCTTATTTTATTTTTTCAGAATGGGCCTTGGGGATAGCAAGGGGGGGGGGGGTTGGGAATGTTTTGCTGAACTACAACTCCCAACATAACCTCGCACGTGGCTCTCCCAGCCGACTCCTGGTTCAAACCACATCTGGAAAGAATTGCCTTGTTTCTCCCTATTTTAAAGTGTTTAAACACTGCTCCAGGGGTGGCCCCTTAAATGAAAAACAAGGATATATCCCACTCTTTTCTTCTCCTTCTTCTCCTTCTTCTTCTCCTTCTCTTTCTTCTTCTTCCTCTCCTTTTCCTTCTTCTTCTTCTTCTTCAGGGAACGCCTTCTCCATTGGCAGAAGTGGCTTAGTTAGAAGGAGCTTGCTCCCACCCAGAGGGAGATAGGTGCGTTTTTAAGGTAGACTTCTCCTGAACCAAGAGGCTCTAACTTAGCATTCTTGCCTGCTGGCCCTGGTGCTTCCCTCCCTCCCTCCCTCCTTCTTTCTCCGCCCTTCAAGCTTAACGGCCACATCAAATCCTATCTTGAAACAAAGTTTAAACTCGGGTTTGAACACCAAATGTCTCCCGCAGTCCAGGTGTTTTTCTCCTTACCTCTCTTCCCAAGTCCTTGCTCCACTTTGGGCACCAAATCCAGGACCAGGTGCAGGTTCTGCGTAGGCGGGGCTGCCTTGGGCAGCTTGGGGGGGCTAGCCGGTGGAGATTCCAGGACCCCCCTGCAGCCAGACCCTTCCTTGGACCACAGACACTGCCGCGAGGAAGAGTCCCGCCCATCACAGGTGCCCCTGGACGACAGGAAGTCCAGCACAGCCAGTTTCCCTTGCTGGAACCGCCGCCGTCCCGGCGCGTCGGCGACTCCGAAGCGCATGGCTCCCTGCAGCTGAGCCTTGGTGAACTCCACCAGGTTGCGGCAGTCCAGGATCAAGGGAGAGGATTGCGGCTGGACCCACGGCGTCGTCGGGCCTATCTTCTTAGCCAGCTCGTCGGGCCAGGCGTTGTGGCTGGTGTAGTTGTCCCCTCCTTCCTCCTCCTCCTCCTCTTCCTCGTCCCCGCCGTAGCAGCTGGGCGCCGGCGAGGACCCCAGCCGGGGGTCGTAGGCCACGATGGGGTCACTGCTGCAGAAGCTGGAGGAGGAGCTGACCGACTTGACCGAGAGGTTGCACGCCAGGCAGGCCAGGGAGCGCAAAGCCACGGGGCCGCAGGAGAAGCACCCCAGCTTCTTCACGGCCTGCGGACTGCAGGCCGGGCAGCCCAGGGAACGCAGGCTGGACCGGCTGGAGAAGCAGCCCAGGGAGCGCAGGCCGGACTTGGCCCCGGCGTCTTCGCAGCGCATCAGCCGCCAGCAGCCCCAGCAGCCGCATTTCAAGGGGTGCATGGTGGTGGCGGGGCTGGAGAGCGTGGAGCTGGGGGAAGCATCCACCGAAGGGTCGGCGTTCTCCTTGAGGCCCCCCCGCTTCTTGAGGTTGGCCTCAGTCAGGAGCGCCTTCAGCTGTGGGGTCAGCGGTGCTTTCTTCTCGCCCTGCGTAGGGTCCGGCGGCGGCCAGGCTGAGCCACGCTCGGGCCCTCGTCCCTGAGGCTTGAGGTCAAGGGTGTGAGAATGGCCAGGGAGGAGGATGCTGCTCCGGCGGAGGCTTTCGCAGGGGTCCTGGCCGACGGCGGAGGGGGAGAGGGGCTTCTCCCCGCCACCGCCTTGGGTGACGAAGGTGTGGGTGAGGCGTAGGGCTAAAGTCTTGGGCCTCTGCAGCACCCCGATCCGCTCTTCGAGGGGCGAGGGTGGCATTGGGAAAGCTGAGCTGCGGGGAAAGGGAAGAGGCCAAAGGGAGGTTAGTACCACGCTCTCCCCTCCCTCCCCAAATTCCTAGCGTGCGGGGGGGAGGTCTCCCAAGGAGTAAGGCTTGGGGGACTTCCACTCCCAGAATTCCCCAGCCAGCAAGCTTGCAAAAATTTACTAAACAGCTAAATGGATTTGCCATGCAGGAGAGGCAACAGGGCGCAATTCAGCCCTCGGCCACCCGGGGCAGGTTTCCAAGTGGTTTGCAAAGCTGGTGTTCTGAAAGCTGGCTGGGGGGGGGGGATTCTGGGAGTTGAAGTTCATCACTCTTAAAGCATGGCAGCTGGGGAATTCTGGGAGTTCTGGAAGGGAGGGAGGGAGGGAGGGAAACGGATGGAAGGAAGCAAGGAATGAAAAATTGGGAGGGAGGGAGGGAAGGGAAGGAAAGGAAGGAAGGAAAGGAAGGGAGGGAGGGAGGAAGGAAGGAAGGAAGGAAGGAAGGGAAAAGGAAGGGAGGAAGGAAAAATTAAGAGGGAGGGAGGGAGGGAAGAAGGGGGGGAGGGAAGGAAAGGAGGGAGGGAGGGAAGGAAGGAAAGGAGAGAAGAAGGAAGGAAGGAAAAACTAGGAGTGAGGGAAGGAAAGAAAGGAGAGGGAAGGAAGGGAGTAGATGAGGTGTGGATGGAAGGGAGGAAGGAAAAAATGAAGAGACGAAGGACGGGATCACCCCCACCATTAACATCCCTCGTTCAATATCTCCTGCTATTATTTCAAACCCTGAAGCCCCCCCAGCCCTTTTATTTACTGATGCTTCCCGCATGGCTGCCACCCTCCGTGCCCTCACCCCACAGCCACGCAGTCGTAATCCAATAACATTTCGATGCGTTTAGGCTAACTTCTTTTTATGGCTCAGCTTTTTTGGCAAGGCGTCCTCTGTCAGGTTTCCAGCTTTCTAAAGCCCAGATCGTATTCTGGGTCACAGGTGCTCCTAGCCATGCAGCAACACCCCTGCAACGCCAAGCAGAGGAGCCCATGTTTACAATACAGCTCAGAGAGCCTTACGCCCATTTCAGGGACCTGGAGACTGAGGCCAGGATAGGGAAGAGGTTTTTTTTTTTTTTGGTTTTTTTAACAACTGCTGGGACTCGGCTGAATTTTGCATTATTATTATTTTTTTGCAAAATCCTTTTCCAAGCTACTTTGTCTGTCCCTAGCACAAATTTCCAATAAATCCTGAAATCTTCCATCTTGCAGAACTCAAACGAATCGTTTTCTTAAAAAATAATAATAATAATAACAACATTTTGGGGATTTGAACACATTTGTCACCCTCGGCCCTTCCCTTCCAGAGGAGGGAATGCTTCAGTGAAGACACCTGCTTCAGTCTCACCCCAACAAAACACAGGCACACGCCCTAATTCGAATTGCAATCCAGATTTTTATCCAGGGATCTACGGGTGGTCCTCATGCTACGATCACACATTTCCGCTGTTAAGGGAAACATTTGCTAAGTGAGTTTTTGCCCCATTTCTCCCTGAACTTTCTTGCCACCGTTGTTAAGTGAATCATTGCAATTTAGTCACACGGTTATTAAGTGAGACTGGCTTCCCCGTTGACTTTGGCTTGTCAAAAGGTCGCCAAAGGGGATCACGTGACCCCCAGGACACTGAAAACCATCATAAATACGAGTCAGTGGCCAAGCGTGTTAATTTTTATCAGGTGACCAGGGAGAGGCTACAACGGTCGTAAGTGTGAAAAACGGTAGTAACTTAAGTCCCTTTTTTCAGTGCACTTCAAACGATCAATAAAAACAAACTTATAAATTGAGAATGACCTGTATTTTGCTTATAACTACCTGTTGACTAATCCCAATTCATCAAAGTAATCCCCAACCCCAACTGGAACAGTTGCACCCTCAAATCTACCATATAAATTCCTTGGCGTGCTGCTTTCTGTTCCAGTCCCACCAACTGGCACGAATGACCAATGCCCAACAAGTCTGCTTTTCACGCGCGCACACACACACACAACCAGCACGACGTAACCTTTGTCCATGAGTAGATCCACAGGTGTGCAAATCCTCTTGCAGAGAATCCCTGCTGGGACGTGCATTTAGGTGAATGTTGCGTTTGCGCAAAGCCACGTTCAAGTCCATCGGTCGATCCCATCCCATTCCCCTGCTCAGCCCTGAATCTCTGTGGCCTACCTCGCAGGGGTGTGGAGAGATTGGGGGGAGGGCGGGGGTTTGAAAAACAGCTCCTACTGCTTCAGGATCTGTTTGCAGCTCCTCCCTGGTGAATCTGTGCAAAGCAAGGCAGGTTCTTTGCATGCACGTTTTGACACACTTCAGTGCAGACTTGTTGAATAATAAGATTGTTTAAAGACGGGCTTTGCTCACACAAAACATGTAGACACATGCACACACACACACACTTGGGCACATGCGGGCATTTTCCCTCTCCAGAGCTTACCTTTTTGACCTGTCCCACAGCCCGCTAGGTTCCCTTAAGGCACTTTCCCTTCCTTTCAGCGAGAGAAAGTTGGACAATGTCTCTAAAAATACCGACCTGAGCTCAGAGGCTGGCATGGTGATGAGGACATGGGGGCTTCTTGGGTTTCACCCCGGGATGAGCTCACCGTTTGGCCCAGGAGATGCTGGGCAACTTTCTTGGGGGGGGGGCAGGGGGGGGAAGCAGGGCGGGCGAGGAGGAAGAGACAGGCAGCGAAACCAGCCAGGGGTGAAGAAAGAGCTAAAGATTTCCCAGGACTTAAGAAAAAGAAAAATGGGATGGGAATCTGTCTCTTGGCAGGACAAGGTTTCTCAGCCTCAGCAGGCTTTAACATGGGTGGGCTTCAACTCCCAGAAT